AGTCTTGGCCCACCTTGTATAATGTGCCAAATTGTCTCTTTTTATCACAATGTCGGTCTAGTTGAAAACAATTGTCGTGTGTGCGTATGACGTCAACACATATGCCCAGTCGTAAAAGGTCAATTAGCCAGGTGCCAATTGCTGTAAACATCTTAAGATTAGTGATCTATTTTTGCAAGTATAATGATTTTTTTAATGATCCAAAGACCATACGAATCCAAGATTTCTTGTTCTACTTGGCCTATTTATGTTGTAATCGAGACAATTCTTTCGTCTTAATTTGTTCTTGTATTTGCGTTCCTTGCGCACCTTTCTAATACTCTCATTAGGCACTTTCTCAATATCAAAACAATTGAAGAATACAGAGATTTTATTGATTATTTTAATGGGATTGTTTGTTGATCAATCCAGTTTACATCAATCATTGAGGATTATTGTTCAAGTAAATGTTGACACTTGAGCAATCCATCCCTAATCCCCTGGATGTTATCTGAGCTCTCGTTAGGGTTCACACAGAACAAAGATAATTGTTCATTTAATGTGTAAAACAAGCTAAACTACAGGCGTGACATTGTTTCAGGCTTATGAATGGATCATGTGTGAAATGAACAGTTCAGAGTCACAATAGTCTCATCGATGCAGATTTGCAGATATGCTTGAATGACTTGTTTTGCTTAGAAAATAGAACAATGCAACAGACACTCTATGACACAATAATATATACTATACTTGGCATGAGTATGTTTACAAAATTCCTTTCAGCATTTGTATTTGAAATTAAATTAAGTGTCAATTCAGTGGGGTATGTTAAGAGGTGTTTCACAGTAATTCTGCAACATTTTTGCTAGGAAATGAACAGTTAGATACTATATGACAATAAAATAGTTGACACCACATATACTAGATCTTTCAACCGTGTCCTTATGATTCTGCAACACATATGCTATCGAAGTTGATCTAAGAGGCTCGTATGATAATTTAAATCTAAATAAACGACTTTATGTTTTTATCTATAGACCATCATAATTAGAAGATTTCTTGCTAATGGTTCTGTCAGCATTGATATTCAGTACCCATGTGATATATATTTTACTAGAATACTTCCTGAATTGTAATACAAGAGACTTCTTCTATGAAGTAACCCTACCTGGCCTAGTCATAATTCAAGTATGTACTAATTGAAAGAGAATTGACATGCTATTCCCTAGTCTAATATCCATACCCTTAATAATTCATTAAGTCATCAGAATGGAGATTGATTTAAGCAAATTAAACAAAGCAACAACTAATATATGAAGTGATCTCTATTATTGTGCTACAATTATCATCATTCCTACCTGTACACATTAAACGTTATTAAACTCATGGAATATTTGCATTATTGTTTTCCCATTGTTTCCTTGATGGTCCATTAAGCATCTCATTGAGAGGGCATAGGATATATCACACAAGGGACCAAACCTATCACAATAACTTTTTAGATTTTTTATTGCGTCGTATTATCCTATGTACTTGGGAACAGCATCATTCAGGGTTGCCGCCAATCAAAACCCATATGCCACAAAGCAAAAAACTGATATCTAGTAATGTTCCTTTCACCAGACTGTTAAGATGCATGGATTTCAATTCATTTCTTGATGATTTATGGGGTGTTTTTCACCCTGAGCGGCATTTATCTATATCAAGTTATAGTTCAAATATGGAATTCAGTAAAATCAAAAGTTCAATATATCCTTTTGAAAATATCTTCAAAGATGATCGTTTATATGTGTTATTTACTTGTAAGCAAGTGTTTAAATCGGTGTGATTTATTATACATCCAGATCTATATCATAAATGGTCGCTTATTTAAAGCTATATCTCGTATTTTAAATTTTTAGATTAAGTTTCGTTTTTTGAAAAATCACTTTATTCAATAAATATTAGAGTAGTACACTGAAATCCTATACTTGGGGCATTGTATATAGCTTATATAAAGCGGTTATACATTAAATCCGGTTGTCATATTTGTGATAAAACGTGTATACTGAATATATACTATATATATACAGTACCTTTTTAAATTATGTATCCAATAATATATGTGTATACAATAATAAACAATTAAACAATCCTACTGTAGATTTGGGTATCCGGGATGCCGTAAATGATGTTCTTTGTGATTTTCCATTATTTTCTAAACACAAAAACATCGTTTAAAATCAGAAAATATAAATTCTTCCCCTGGGACTTATAAATGCACCTTACATCATCCAGAGGAGAGTATTACAATCCCAGTAAATGAAAGGAGTGTTCCACTTTAGAACTAAACAACCATTGACACTTTAATGATGTCGCACACTCTCAATTAGTGGTGATTTTATATTTTCAGCAGTTCTAACATCCATATTAATGACTAAATGCTCTTGTCAATTAGAAACAAGTTCTGTCTCGATACTCGATGGAACAATAAGCTAATATTTACCATACACTATGCATTAACTGACGCAGAAGCTAAACTCTGATAGATGGACCATTCAAACAGATAATTAAGAAACACTCGATCTTTTTTCCATGTTTATTGATGGCGATAATAGTGTATAAATGTGAAACTATTTATTTCTATCGACGGTGTTGTCAATCCGTTATTAGATAATTGCTTCATTTCTTAATGGGAAATGGAAATAAACCTGATTCAGGTGAAACCATCAGATTTGTAGTTATAGACATTGAACATGTGTAAACTCAATACAAGTGTTTTGTTTATAATGTTAATTTCCATTTCTGCCAACAAACAAATGTTGGTTTTTTATTGTTTAATGAGAATAGAATTGTGACCTTTATAAGGTGAAGTCCTACAGATGAAAATCAGAATTTATGCAATAGGTAAATCAACTGTAAATATTGATACTGTAACAATTGCAATTGCATGACTCCTCAATTCTATTTGAAATGTATCTATTTTACACAACTTCCATTGTATATTTAAGGAATATAACCTCTCCAGAAAAATAATATATTTGTTTTGCTAGACATTTAAGTGTATATGAATAAAATACATATGCTGAGGTGTGCCGGAAAATTTCGTAATCAATTATTCAACTTCAAACTCAAACTAATAGAGAAATGTTGAAATATTATTTAAAATATAATATCTGAAACGTATGTGCAAGATAGAAATAAAAGTAAAATTCGGTAAAATGTGACTATGTGTAAAATGTGACTATGTGTAAAAGTATACCATGCTCATTGCTCATATGTTTAATAATTATTAATATTAATTATTTGTATATATCACATTTATATCATATAGATATTATATAATTTATTTAGGATCAGAATGTAGGAAAACGGTAAACAGTAAAACAGTAAACCAAAATGAAGAACGGTCTGCAAAGCATTCAGATAACATACTCAATGGCCTATCCATAAGGTATACAATAGTGACGTTCTTTTTGATTTTGCATACATGCGTTAAGGTTTCTTGAATATCTAAGCACAAATGTCAACGGAAAATGACAAAAATCTGTAAAGAAACCTAGCAAGAAAAGCAAAATCTAAGCGTAGACCTGTCATAAGAAAAATAGATCCTATACATCCCAAAACCATGATCTGGCGTGAAAAGAAATTTTATCAAGCACCCCTTTCCCCTCCAACCGAGAGTCGATATCACAATCCAAGACCAAACTTTAAACCTACACGTGGTATATATTTACTTTTTATTTTTATCTTTCTTTATTATCAATTTTTATGACGTATTCCAGATTAAAAAAATCAGCGTTTATAAATTTACTTCTCTCTGTTGACACAAATGGCACTCCTCACAGTACGATGCATGATACATTTGTTTACAAAACCAGAAGCACACAATTAATATTGTAATAACGATTCTAGATATTATTAAGAAAATCCTTTAAACTATTTTTATTTAATAATCTTAGAACAATATTTACACAAAGTATCTAGTCTTTAGAATAACTGCAGGTTTGAATGGTAATAAATCGCGAGTAGTAAAATGATATTTGCTGAGGTTTCAAGATTGTCATCTCATTTTACAGAAAAACTAATATTTGGGTGTAGCTTTTGATGTGATCTCGAACCAATGAATAGTTGAAATAATTCGCAAGAATAAGTGTTGACTTATGTTCAATCTTTATCAATTTTGAACTTGTTCTTTATTTTCTTTGAAAGCGTTTTGAATCTCACATATTTGTTTGTTAAATGCATGTCCTCTTGGTTTTGAGTTTGGATTCAGCCCGCATTTTTTAATTTTAATTTGTATTTGATGCTCCTATTTTTCATTGTTATATCTTGTTCCCTCGAGTGCTGTACAAGTATATGAGTCTATTTTGTTACACAAACCATACTGATTAATCTTAAATATAAATAATTAACTAAAAATAGTTCGTCTATTTCATAATACTTTTATTCTCACAAATATTTCAAACAAAGTACAATATCATCACAGTAATCTATTAGTTATGTAGAACAACTATTTAAATTTTCAGTTTTTCAAGGTTCTGTTGATTTCAAATAGTTTACAAATGTAAGTTTATGGATTTAACCCAAAATATGATTACCTTTTTAACAATTTAAGTTGATGGTTAATTTAAAAATCAATGAAAATAGAGATGGAAATCCAATATATTATACATCTATTTAATCGCTCTACCATCCCATTGCAATTAGGCATATAAAATACAACCATTTTCCGACCCAACGCCTCAGCTAATGACAAGCTTCCCATGGGAAGTTTACAATACATGAACACCATATACAAGTTATAGGTTGGCCCTCAAAAGTGATGTTTACATATCAAAAAGTCACCGGAATGTTCAATTTGGAGAGACTTTCCATCCTCCAATTTAATTTCAACCACCCTATGTATAACATATCTGAAGTTATTGTCTATATTTTAGAACAATCTTATTCTTTTAAACTAAATATCAAATTTCCAGTAGTGATTTTCATAATGTTTAATGTGATGAATGTTTATTCATGTAATATTTCAAAATAATTCTTTCTACTCAACACTTGGAATGGCAACTCTTGGAATGATAATTTGAAAATATATAATTTCTATAACAATCGAATTATTCATTACGTACATACCTTTTCTATACCCTGGAAGATTTAAATAGAACTTATTGAAACTACTAAAAATTCAATTTGAAGTAAAACAAGTTGATTACCAATTTAATACAATAACCTTTTTAAAACCGCCATATATACACGTAGAGATCTAACAATATATACAATATTAATAATTTATATCTATAATATATATGTCGTTGTGTTGTGTTTTGCTCACCGTAGGACTGGGGTTGTTAATGTAGAAGTTTGTGTGAAGTTTAGACTAGTCATCGGCAGTGGCGGGCCAGCGAGTGAGAGGGCTGGTAGACTTGTTGGCAGTGGGGCAACTCCTCTGGTCTGATTGCTAAGTGTCAATGGCATGGGTTTGATGGGCACATGGCCTGCTAGAATGTCTCTGCTAAGATGGCCGAGATTCATTGCTGAAATGTCAGGATGTAAACTTGTACCTGCGAATGGATGTCTGAGGCTTAGCGAATTTGGGAACCCGGGTAGAGCCGTGTATCCTGTAAGAGAAGGGTGCGGTAACATCTGCACTCTTGGCGAAGCAGCACTGTTCTTATTGTCTGGGGCAATAATATTCTCAATTGTAAAGGGTTGTTTAAAAGCTGTCGAAGTTGGGGGAGTATATGGTTGGTATCTTGGAGTTTGAGTTATACTCTGAGACATGCTCTGAGCTTGAAGTCCTATTTTTGCCTGGTGTTGCAAATATGCATGGGCCTGGTCCAAACTCTGTCTTACGGACTCGGGCAGGGAGATTTGTGCTCGTAATGTCTTGAATCGTTTTCTTCTTCTAAGAAAACTTCCATTTTCAAACATATCTCCGCACATTGGGTGCAATGCCCAGTAGCTTCCTTTACCCGGACGGTCCGGACGTCTCGGAATTTTGATGAAGCAGTCGTTGAAGGAAAGATTGTGTCTCAAAGAATTCTGCCATCTTTGGGTATTGTCCCTATAAAACGGAAATCTGTCCATTATGAACTTGTAGATGTCACTAAGAGGAAGCATCTTCTCTCCCGAACTTTGAATCGCCATGGCAGTGAGCGCAATATAGGAATATGGCGGTTTTTGATCGCTATAACTGTGACGACCTGGACGAGGCATATCTTCTTCCTCGTAATTCAACTTTATATAACTTCTATATAGTGTCTGTCCTACTGTTTAAACTTAATCGTTCTTCCGAAAGTTTCGCACATTTAGTTTTATCAAAATGGCGAGCTTCGTTGATAATATGTTTCCTTTTTAGAATGTAGATATGAGCAGTGTTACGATTATGTAAAGTCTGCAGATTCAGTCTGTGTTCTTTGCTTCTGTGGAATGTCTCTATTAATTAACTCGATTGAGTGGCGCAAAATACAAGAGATTAGTAGAGATCATTGCATTTTATGTTGCTGTACGCCAGGTAATATCAGCTAGTGATTCCTTCCGCAAATACTTTCGTATACCTCTATTCGCCATTGGTTCACGTCAATCATAAAACTGGGCGGAGTCATGTTCAATTTTCATTAAGTATTCACACGTAAAAGGTAAATATTATTTTTACTTCTTTGATGATGCGTTTTATTTAATCATCACGTTATGAATACTTTATAACTTTCTAATCAGAATATAATTAAAGGACGAGTGGCTGCTGTATGGTATTGTTTTATTCTTTATTTCAACATTCGGAAATCAAGACAAAATCAGACCTTTCCATCGGGTTTTCGAGAAAACATTTTCACCGGGCACTTGAAGTTGTGCAAATATATGGATAGGACTATACGATGACTACACTTGACTGATGCACAATTCACGGCTTGAACATACTGAATGCTGAATGGGCTGCTACTTAAACTGTAAAAGTGATGTATGTGTACCTGGACTATTCCTATTGAGCAAGGTCTTCCTTTGACCTAAGTCAGTATGGGACCATTGTTACAACTGTGATCATTCATCAGGACTGTATAAATTATACATGCTAGATTTGTTAGGATTAGAACATGCTTGAACATCAATGGCTTTTCATGTCAGAAAAAGACTGAATAAATATAGAGCATCTTTTTCTCCCTTTCTATGTATTCAAATAGCTCATTTTCAAGTTGTTCTCAATGACTATTTCCAGGTGAAGGGGTTTTTATTAACTTATTGTAATATGGACCTCTAAATCAAAGCACCGAATAAAAGAGGACAATTTCTTAGCTTCTATTTCGCTATGGGGTTGCGTTTTAGTATTTCACAGGCACATCCCAAAGTTATTACCCTCCAATAATTTTTGTTAAAAGTAAATTTATATGTGTGCATATCCATTAATTTTCAACGCTGCATTCGGAGAACATGTTCCCGGACCATCATTACGTCTTAATGAATACTGTTTATAGCATTTGCTTATGTTACAAGTTAATGAAACAGACCATTTACAAGAAATTAAAACTATGGAGTCATTTGAAGTTGTTCTGAATGGTAAATATTTGAATGGTCGGACAATGGAATATGACACTATCAAACCATATGCCACGGCCACGCAGGCGGAAAATTAAGTTAAATGAATACTAAGTTTTCGCACCTTCAAACAATAAACTTTAGAATCTCAAACACACTCTGAAGTTATTTCATTCTTTCACTATAATGACTATTATTTGCGTATAACATTTTCATGCTTGTTTGCGTGCGCCGCGTTTCTTATATCACGTGATAATTAAAGCGTCTCGTAGTTAGGTGATGACCGCATACCTGGATGTGAAGAAGAACAGACCTGTGTTTTTTATTATAATTTGTTTGTTTAGGACGCTGACCTTTGCTCAAATAACTGTCTGATTGTATATTTCAAAATATATGATCATCAAAAAATTAATAAACAGTGTACAAACAAATTGCCTTTTATTTGACCTTTGGACAGAAGTTATTAGCAAAATGCTTTTGGCCAGTTGGCACGACCAGCCTCGCAAAGCCTAAGGGAGAAGCAAGCTCTAAAAGGGCCCTCGTTTTCGACAATATCAACCTAGTCTCCCGCTGTTATATTAACGATTCTAATAAAAGATATAGGTATTATAGCTTGACCCGCTGATAGATGGTAATTTACATTATGCTACGAGGAACGATTTTGAGAATTATTAGAAGTACAAAATGGATTGGTCATTTGGTTATTAATGTCAATTGAGCTGCGTCCCAGAATCTGTAATTAAGTCCACCTGGATATTTGATATAGCATTTAACCAATAAACACCGACATTTGTATCACACCATTAAGAAACAATAAATTAAATATACTACATTTTACTATGTTTTTCTACAGTCTATATCCTACGTTTTAGCTACACAATATATCTGTCGCTGTATTTAGGTAGTAGTAATTTCAGATGTTTTTTTTATATTATTAGCTGTTGGACGTTTACCGACAACATTTTATTTTTTAATCATTCTTGGTCAAGTTAGAACTTTGATTATGATCCATTATAATAGCAAATTGAATACAAATGATATTTGAGATTTTTTCAGTAAGAAAAATTTGGGTTGGATAATGTAAATCTGTGTCTGACTTCTAGATGATCTCACAGTGTTATACATTTGCCATTTCGTTTGTTTCATTTTGATTATGAAGTTAGAATTATTAAATCATTGTAACTTCATAAATAACATATAGTAAATTTATAAAACAAAACATATGAATGCTAAATAGTCTCAATTTCCCAACCATCTATTTTTAATTATTTGCCAAATAAAGATAAAAAGTGAAAAGTAAAATAAAACTTTTTTTGGAAAAGCTTTTCGACAACACATTTAAAACATGTACGACTTTTATATAAACACATTTAAAAAACATTTATCAAGAGCAGCGATCTTTTCAAGAATTTATTTCATCATTATTATCCTCACGTGTGATTTTTTACACTTTTGTTTGCTGGAATTAGTATTTATTATCAATCATCATAAATGCTATAACTATTTTAATTTTCATGATTGTTAACTTACATGTACAAGATATTTATTTTGGAATGTCGATTGATGCTCTGTTGAGTTTCTTTGGCTGCTACTTGCGCTTCATGATATAAAGTCGATGAACAAGGAGAATTTACCACTTCATTTGGCTAAAACCTACTGTTTTATTCCCGTCGCATCATAATATCCTACATAGGGTCATTAGATAGCAAATCATGGCATAAGCGGAAATTTTAGTGTCAAATGTAGGGTTGAATGAGAATAGGGATGCAACACCTGAGGTTGTGATTGAGTCTACATAATCCTCTAACAAGGAAAACTCTTCTAAATATTTGAGTTTTCTCCAGAGAGTCTTGTCAAACAGGAAGACGGGATACAAAGTTAATGTCATTGATTAAGGACGAGAAGTGATTTACTGAATTAATGAGGCAAGGTCTTTGTAAAGTGATATAAACCAATAAAGCCGTTAATCCTGTTTTAGCTACTAGTACTTTCCATGGAAAACACTATATTGACCATAATGAGGGATTTGTTCACGTTTGTCTAAGGAGTTGAACGGAAACTCATTTCAATAAAAAAAATCTACAGTTTGAAACTAATTTGGACTTATATTTTTTGCTATCGAGTATCACATCAAGAAAGCTATTCATTTTATTTTCATATGATTTCATGAAATAAATTTCGAAAATCTAAAACGGGAAAGTGTTAATTACCGCCAATAAGCATTGGAAATTGTACCCACAAGTTGTTCTACACGCTTTTTAATATGGTGCTTTCTTCTCGGTACATGCTTTATCTTCGAGTCTAAAATTCTAATTTTTCTAATTGTGTGTAAAAATAACTCTAAAAATAGCTCTGTGTCTAGTTCTAGATGAAGCAAACAAATTGTTTTACTTACAACAACCGATTTTCCTCTTATTGTACATCCCTATTGATTTTTAAATGATATTAATGGGCTAGCTAGCTGACCAAACCAGACTGCATTAATCATGAAGGATTTTTTCTCAAGTAAACACTGAGACTTAAACTGATATCCCCATGGTGTTATCCAAGCTCTTGTCAGAATTCACACTGGATAAAATAATTGTTTAGTATAATCATGACACGTGTTTTCATTTAGTGTGAGCATTTTTTGATTAATGATATATATTTACTTCATCAGGACTTCATGTCCACTAAATACTTTAACTCCTTCGAACCACGGTCGGGCATATTCATTTTCAAATTAACCATTCAAATTATATTCACATGATACAAGAGAGGGAAGTTGTTGTTTTTGTCTATTTGGTAAGGTGATATGATACAAGTTGTGATGACAGCCATATTGTGTGAAACCGTCGGAAGCAACAGATATACCAACACAACACAATCCCGATCTGTAACGTTACTCCACACCCTCCTATTCAACTAAAACACCTTTGCAACAAGACGTTCTACAACTTTTAATAACCAACTACAATAGTCACAATTGGATTGAATGACACGGAGAAAAGTACACTACAATTCAATTTGAACCAACTTTTAGCGTCTCGGGTCTAGCGATATCTAGAGTACGTATACGTACTCGTATTATATTATTGTAATATTCTAGGTCATGAAAACTTATAGCTAACCATGATGATATAATTTAAAAACTAATAGTGACTTTTGGATTTATTAAGTATTTCTTTTATTGACAATATTATCAATGCACGACACATTAGATTATGTACAAACTACCTGATCTAACTAAAGAAAACAACTAAAAACTAAGAAAATAAATGGATAAAAATAAAATAAAAATAAGTTTACCTTAAAGATTGACTTAAAACTACAAGTAATGGGTGAATTTAAAAAAATTATATTGTCGAGTGCGCGTGTCAATTGTAACCGTTTCTTTGTTTAAATCCCATGTGTATTTAAGATAGACAGTTGTTTGAAATAACTCCACCCTACCCCTCCCCTAGTCGCTTAGGCATGCCGTAGACACCTGTGCATACCAGGAGAGTTAAGCACATTTTCTTTTTATCAAACGTAAAATCTATTTTAATCAATTTGTAACGAGTAAAAAAGAGCAACTACATTTATGTTACCATAGAAACTAATCAACCGTATAACCATTGCTAAACATCGTCATGAAAAATAGTATTTTTATTGGAGTGGTTACGCCATCTAGAATGATTTAAATCTATTACAGGTTTAATTGCTTGTTAAAATATAAATTAAATTACTAAAATATTTTTAAACGATGATGAGGAAGAAATTAATGCTCTGGAAACATTGTTATTGTACGATATATAGATAAAACAACATTTAGGAGCAAATGACCAGAAAAATCTTTGAAGTTTCCGAACAAATTTAATTTCCACGTAAAAAAGTACTCGCAGCTGCATTTGAAATTTAGTTGACCAGGAGACAGGATTAGGTAAACCATTTGGGCAGTAAATAGCTATAATTCTTCAATTGAAATGGTTATTGGCTATTTGCGAATTTAACCAATCCCAAATTCTTTCCCCACGGGTCGACATGAGATTCAAATCTAGCCCGTCAGCTCATATTGAGTACAATTTAACATTAATTAACATTAGTATGTTTTACAGAGGTCTATAATGAATCATATTTTTCTATAATATTATGTGTACATTAAAAATAAGTACAGTATATTAATATCATAACAAATTCCACACGATTCATACTCTTGTAACTCATCAACCATTGAATTATCATTTATTGAAATTCAAGAGAAATATTTGTGGAGGGTGCCCAATAGACTACATGCGAGTAGAAATAATTTTGATTTACGTCATTAATATTCAAAATTCAGTCAAAGCGATGTCATATTTGAAATCTGCATGTAAATGTACATCTAGAAATATGGTGTCGAAAATTGTCTATCAACTTTTAAAATTAAATTTTTTGAAAATGTGACTTCTTGTTCGGGTTGATTCCTCATAGACCCCATGTTAGAAAATCACAAAAAGTGAATTATCTTTTCTTGTATTGGACAGATAACATTTTCTTTTACTGGACATATTTTATTTGCATAACTATTAGATACATAAGGGTTATATGAAAATTGAACCACGCAAATAGATGTAATTTAAGTTAAAGGGAACTTTCTACTATACGCGCCATGCTATCTGACCCGAACGAGCCACCTGGTGGTGAATCTGGTAACTACCTACTCGCATCTGCGTTATTAATTTGCGTGGACCACATTGCTAACTGCAAATTTTGTTTGAGTAGCCGCAGAGAGGGTACATATATAGCCAACATGTTAGACAACCTTATATGTAGGTTTTACATGTCAATGTCATTAACACCACATTTAACTCGAAATGAGTAAAGCCTGTTTATTATCAACATTTTTTGTTTTCTTTGAGTTCACTTCACTGCCTCTCATGACTGCACACGACTTTCATCCAAAGAAAACCGTGCTCCATTACAAATTCAATATTTCTCTTGTGGCTTGAAATAATGTTTCATTTTTTTACCAAATTGATGAATCAAATTGGGAATCAAATTTCAGATTAATGAGAGTGCGAATAAATATGTTAAAGAGATTAATCGGGAGAAGCAGGCGTTTGCACCAAAAGCCTTTTGTAATTAAAAAATATTAACGGATATTGAAGAAATAAAGTTTCACTTTTTCTGTTTTTCTAAGGCGGGGATTTCATCAGATCTCGTGTTTTCTTCAAAAGGTCATCTCCCTATGGTCTACGCTTGTCAAAACCAAGAATGCCTCTGTGGAAAAATATAATAAGATCTTATTTGATAATCGCGGTGATAAATTTGATAATCTGATCATTGAATGGGTAATATGTTTCTCTTAAGAAGAAATACCAATCTTAGTATTTTTAAGCAATCAACAACGATCTGTGCTCAAATATTGATCCTCGCTCTCAATAAGATATTCATCACTTTCATACAAAGTTTACAAACCAGGGAATTATTAAATTGCAGAAATAACAACCCTGATCTGCCCTATTCATATATGAAGTGTAGCATTAACCTTGGGCGATAATAGAGTATTCTATATGTCAACGTTTGGGTAAATTATTGTTTCAGAAAAATGGCTAATCCGCCCAAATATTTAGATGTTGCTTATAACAATCCCTGTTTAATATAACATGAGTTACAAACCCATTGGGTATGATATAAAATATTTTATAAAGTAGCGATGTCTACTTAAATTAGATTATTGAAGAAATATGGGGAACTTCAGGGTTTTTATAACTTGATTAGAGGTCAAATTACGATCAGGCAGTCTCTGAGTTTTCTCCATGAAGGTTCTGTCCATAAACATATGACTATTTAATGGTAAAATATCCAATGCAACATGACATGGCCAACACGGAATTCTAACAATCACAATTATAACAAAAGCATTAAACAAATTCATGCCATATACAAACGTACTCGTGTATGTTGGCCAATTTAGATGATGTTCACTAGATATGGGTAACTTTCTCCACTAAGAAGAAAATGTAGTAAATGTAGTAGTCTTTACATTAGAGCGATGTACACAATGTCGATTCTTAGTTACGTTGTTAAAACAATTTGATAATCTTTTTGAGTAACATTTTGCAAGCATGAATATTATGTCATCAACGAGTTTTACGACTCTTTCAAATATGATTGTGATTTAGAAGATCATAATAAGCATAATAAACACTATCGTATGTAAAGATGGAACCACATGTTAACATTTAGATTTTGCTATTCTGATGGGTATCCATCTTGCTTCATCAAGCTTTGGACTGTTCTCATAGAACGTAGTGATTGGGCGTGGGACTTCACGATGATGGGTATCGGGGATCATCCATTGATTCTTCCATTCTCGACGCATTATCTAAAGCTTGCTCTCTATTCCAAGGGACGGTAGAGACTGTAGACCTCCCAATGGGAATCATTAAAATACAACCAACGGGAAAATTCAACAACACAAATCACCATCAATAACATTAATACACCCCTATTGAAATGTAAACTAGCCTCCAAGAGTCAGTATCAGTGCTGATTATAACAAAGGTTTGAAAGTGAGGGAAATGGTCCAAATTATTATGAAAGAAGGATCCAAGTTGCTCACGATATTTTCTAATGGTAAAACTGTCTGGATTCACCAATGTCAAAGAAATCATTCTTCTTGCCGAATACGACAAAGTAATCATTCCCATCGAACCTGTAACTATCATCTATGGTCAATATCTACAACTAAAAATCTTGATTGTATCTTTTTTCTTAGATGAAAATGATGCAGGTTTATCTGACTGCTCTCAAAAAGAAAAAAGAAAACGCCCACTTTTTCAATTTCAAACTTGATTTTGAGACGCAAACAGATATAAATGTGGCGATTCCCATATATCTTGAAAATTAGAAGTTAAATATAAGAGGTTTAAATAAACAACGATGGGACAGACCTGAAAAGGTAATGAAATGAATTGTCCCCTACGGCTGTTGTTGCAGCTTAAAGAAGTTCCACGCAATTCATATTCATAATTTGTCAAAGATTAGACCGTTTCTACAGACTTACACCATCTGAAAAACATATTATTTTAACGTAAACATCGATTAATCACAGCATATGTGGAATTTGGACCATTTATAACAATGTTTGTTAGAACTGTGAAGGAATTAGATTCATGCTAGGTTAACTTCTCGATTACCATAGTAACAACACATAACACCCAAATGCTATTAATCTCGGTGTCAATATCCTCACGGAAACAATGGTGCACTTACAAGCCATTAATATTTCCGATCTCACTTTTGACAATTTAGGTTATAAGAAACATATTTGAAAATGTTACCAGAAGGCCAAAATACTATACAACTTTTAAGAACAGGTGAAAACCAACTAAAATAAACCAGTTATCGAATACACAAGATACGTATCGAAAGGAAATTCAAATATCAGTAAGAGCGATGCTTTTATAAGCAAATGATGAATTACACGAGACTAGTAGCCGCATAGTCTTTGAAAGCGAAATTTTATACGCGCATTTGAACATGTTACATAACAGATATGCACATTTTGCCTATTAACTTATCCATAGTCTAGAGTTCTTATTTTGTAATTTTGATGGTATTTCTAAAATCTGAGATTCTCTTGGAAAAGTTCGAAGTAAAAGAAGTTTGGGCGCCAAGCTAACAAACCTCAGCAGGCATTTGCATTTGTAACTTGCTGTTCAAAATAAACAAAACTTTGTACTTATAGTAACGCTCTCCTGGATCAAATTGACCTGGATTAGACTTTAATAGGATGCAATATAATCGCTTATTTATCGGGTGTTATAAATAAAGTAACGGAAAAGTTGTTAATGTTATAGTTGGAGTATTTAGAGTATTTACGAAGGGTATCACTGTTACAGTTTTTAACCGATACATGCTCTGGAAATAAAAAAGAAAACGCCCGGCATGAAGCAACAACAAGACAATACAGAAAACTATGTATTTTATGGACAAGTAATTAACAAACGAACCATGTGGTGATAAGGTCATCAACTCTGTTAGAACCTGCAAAACATACGAAGTAAAAGATTTATCAGATTATCAAGCGATACATAGCCTTGACGGACAACGTAATAAGCTGGCAGTGCAATAGCATTCGGGACTTGATTATCAGTACCTGATCATTTTCCGAAATACTTCGAATTTAAAAAAATACACAAGTCATAAAGGACATAGATCAAGAACAAAATATAAACCGCAACACCAACGCAATACATCAGGAAATCACTCAGCCATGTATCAAGTGCATAGATCGTTCCACATTGCTGACTATGTCATATTCTCCTTAGTTCTGGTTATATCCGCCATCATTGGAGTCTACCATGCTTGCACCGGTGGAAAGCAGAGGACAAATAAGGAGTTCTTTATGGCAAACAGATCATTGCCAGTAATCCCCGTCGCAATATCTATATTGGTTACCTTAACTTCAGCTGTTTTAATATTAGGTGTAACGGCTGAGGTGTATACTAGAGGCACTATGTACTTCATGGCATTCTTTGGAATATCACTTGCCTGTGTGGTGTCTACAGTAACCTTTGTGCCTCTGCTGTACCCTTTGAAATACACGAGTTCTTATGAAGTAAGTATTTTTATAGACCGTAGTAATAATTGTTGAAATATTTGTGACTCGGAAAATTTACTACAAATGATAAATTTTGGTACAATCCAAAGAGGATTAGTTTTTCAAGAACATCATATTGCTTTCCTTCGAATGCTTTTTGATAATCGAAATAAAGTATAGCCGACCGGCCGGATATGTTACTTAGTTGATGGGAAATAAGGTTAATTTGTAAGTTTATATATTACTCTTTGGATATGAGATACTCAGTTAAATACTTTTGTCTCAAACAACAAACTGTAAGAAGCAAATTGAAAAAAATCTACTAGCGATTTAAAATAGTTCAAAATGTCATATTCTATTCACTTAATTTTTTTGTTTTTTTACCAATGTCTGTAAATGTCAACCCCTTGCATTTCCGCGTGCCACCTCCAGAGATAGTCCGTACAAGATTTTGGCAAGCTCAAATCATTTTAGATATGGTATTACTTACTCGTATGGTGGCCGTATGTAACATATGTCTACAGGTTTGGTTCATATCTCAGTTTAGCGAAGTGTAGTTGTTGGGAATGTTTTCTGTCAATTGATTTATTAAAGGTTTTGCAAGTTCACACCTGAATAACTAATAAAATACTCTTAGTATTTTTGGGCCTTTTCCATTTGGCGGATTGGACGGCTATATTATTTGAAAACGCTGAATAGGGGTTGAGATCCTTTATGTCACGTGTAGTTGAAAAAGTATTTCATTTTATCATATACATGATTCAGAGACATATAAAAGTTTTATGTCTCTGCATAATTACACAAGATTGACAATTTTATGATTAAACTAAATGAAAACTTGCCTAATCATTTCCAATCTGATATTCGAACGTTCTTTTTATACCAAGGTTGGGGGTCATTCCCTGGGGTCAAGTTTTGCTTTATTTGTAATATATACTAATACTTTTATTTGTAGTATCTGAAGCATAGGTTCGACTCTCACACGACAAAACTCGTTGGATCGTGTATCTTCATTCTATCACAGGTAATGTCACTGAAATATTAAAACAATTTAAATAGTTATATGCCAACGATTACCTTAGAGAGACAGGGCTCGGTACCCCCCCCCCCCCCTATCACACCAAACTCGTTCTTACCCGTTCTTGCCAGTCCTACGAAAACGTCGTAAAACGGGCTCAATCTGGCTGTGGTCGGGAAATATGTCTGAAATAATTAGCTTCTTCGTTCTTAAACAGTCTTCAATACGTCCTTCTCGTTCGCAGTTCGTTCAGGTCGCACCACGTCGGTGTGCAACGTAGTAGAACGCGTCCCTTAGTCTAGAAGGTCAACATGACCTGATTACAGAACGTTATGGTCGCCATCGAATTTTGAATCGATTCAAAATTCTAAAATCACATTCCCGTCTGAGAACGATCATAAAGTTCGTAAATAGACCTTAGAAAGTTGCAGCTACGTTCATTCCGTTCGCACACAGTTTTGAAGAACGCAGTGGCAACTTGTTTGGTGTGATAGCTATATTTTTGCTTACTCGTTCATAAGCAGTGTTAAATACGTTCTCAATCAGTTTAAACCCGTTTGCAATTAGTTCTACCTCGTTCTCAACACGTCCTCAGACAATTCAACTCGTTGTTAAAACGTCCCTAGTAGGATTGAAGTACGACGGTTCCGTTCGTAGTACGTCTAGCTCGTCGTTAGTACGTTGTCACTCGTTCTAATTGTAGAACGTAACGACCACGAGAACATTTTGAGCATTGTCTAAGTTCTAGAGGACCTACCCGTTCGAGTACGTTCGATGAAGTTTGTTAATAGATCCCAAACGGTTCTTAGTAGGTCCAGTCCGTTCGTACACAGTTGAAGCCCGTTTTTGAGAACGTAGTGAGAACTAGTTTGGTGTGATAGTAGGGTACCATAATGTCCCCAATGACCTAAAAGGCCCACCGAGGAGATCTTTATCTCTGACACTGGTACCTATAAGTTAAGGCTCGGGATGAACTAATGCTAAGTATGTCCATTTTGGTCCATTTGACACCCCATTATGCCATTGTACTTTTTTCTCTTGTGCTTCTCTCTTTTGGTCCAGTATCTGTTTACTGTAAATTATATGTTTAATATTAATACTATGTTTCTATTCCAGCTCCTCTACATGGGAATAGTTCTATTCTCCCCAGCAACGGCTTTAGAAGCAGGTACGTACCATGTTTATATTTCTTTATAAAGAGATAAGCTTGTATAGATATCATCACAAGATTTTCTTAATACATTACCAATAAGTAATTGAATGCTCGACCACTTTACTAAAATATAACGCCTTGCATCTAGACATAAAAGGCAATCTATTACTCCTTAGACGTGACCCCATTGTTCTGTTCTGTTTATTTTGTCTTCTTTAGTTCTCATCCTAATTGGTGAATCTATTTTCGATAATACGCTTGTATGTGTACATGATAGTGCTACTTACCACTGATTGATCCAGAAGCCAACAGGGGGGGGGGGATTTGGTGTCATGAAAAAATTTTGGGCCGCAAAAACCCAAAATATGGCCCACATTTTGAAAATTTAAAGGCCATTTTTGATAATTTGGCCTAGATATGCCTATTAAAAGGCCATACAAAATCTTTGGGCTGTATAATTTTTGGGGCCCTAAAATGTTTTCTGGGCCCACAAAAGGGGGGATCGGCCTGATCCGCCAGTGCATACTGTAACGTCTCTGTTATTGTTTCGTCAATCTTTAAATAGTTACCGGCTTTCCCGAATGGGCTACCATTATCATCACCGGTTTGTTCGCCACTTTCTACACTGCAATTGGTGGTATGAAGGCTGTCATTTGGACCGATGTTTTCCAGTCATTTATAATGGTGGCAGGCCTCATGTCAATCGTCATCATGGTAAATATTACACATAATGGAGTAAACATTTGGCTCGTGTTGATATTTTGTTACATGTCGTAGTTACATGGTACAGTATGTGTAGTTATGACAAGTACTATTGGTAGGAAGCATTTTCTTATTGATTATGAATATATAAAAGGTATAAAATATTAAGTTTATAACAAATTTTGAATTATCATAATTTCATATTGAGAATGAAGAATGAAACAATTTTCGTTCTTTTAATTTGTTTAACTATGATTTTTACCTTCAGGGTTGCGTTGATGTTGGGGGAATTGATAAAGTGTGGGAAATAGCCAACGACAACAACAGGATCCAGTTCTTTGAGTAATCTTTGAATTTCTTCCTGGATTCATTTTATATCTACATTAATAGGGTCATCAGTTCTTTACCATATTTTGCGTACACTAGGGGATACCAATATATTTTGTTATAATTATAAAGAACCGGTTGTTGGTACCATCAAAAACCGTCGAATTATACCTCTTGCTTTTTTCCTTTAGGTTTAATCCTGATCCAACAGTCCGTCATTCCACCTGGAATCTAATCTTTGGTAGCTTTGTTACTTGGCTGTATGTGTTCGGTGTCAACCAGGCGGTCTGCCAACGCTTTAACTCTGTCCCGACCCTTAAAGCGGCGCGCGTGTAAGTATGATTTATTCCGATGCTTGCTTTCAAATCTTCGCATCGTATTATAAACAGTATTTCATCAAGTAATTTTATAGTTTATTTCTATTTATATACATCAATGAAATGACAATATCTCTAGTTCAGTGACGTGTCGCAAAAAGGTGGCGCATTTGTTTTTAAGGGTATCGCGTGAATGTAACTTTGATTCACCGAAATATAAGATAATATTCTAATTAATGTTATATATCATTTTAAAGCTGTTTCGATGAAGATTTTAGATCAACTACACTCCGTTCACATTTTTTGCGCGTTCGTTTTTAAAAAAGAGTTTTTTACCAAAACATCTGGCAAATATCCCATGTTGACACGTTACATTTTGAATTATTTTTCGTCTTTAAACGCTCATAACTCAAATAATATATGACTATTATACTTATTTTTCGTCTTGATAAAGGTAGATGGAAGTTTTATTTCAAAGGATGAATTTTAGTAAGCGTCCCATATTGTGACGTCATAGAGTCTGAAAAATAGAATCTGTTGACAGCGACCTTTTTTGCTCATTTTTGGTACCTTCAACTTTTCAGGTGTAAATTAAACAAAAAATACGAGATCAATTTTTAATAAATCATACATGATTATTTTGCTCCTAAACTCTAGTTTATTAATAATTAGTTGATTTTGTTCACGAAAGTATGTGTTTTCTGTTGTATGTGGAAAAGCGGAGGACGAAAGGTTTTCAAAATTCATTGAAATAGGGCTAATTTACGCCATTCGCCTATTTTCAAGCACAGCAACACGTATATTTATTTCACCTAAAATATCAATTGATTCGTGTTTTATGATGCTCCTAGCCCAGTAACAATATATATATGATATCAGAGTTATTCGTCTAAAATGTTTTGAGATATAGAGGTAAATGTGGAGGACGAAAGGATTTTCATGTGTGTACATTTTTCTCAAAAACGTCACATTCTATCATGTTAAAAGCGAGGATCCTCTGGATTACGCCACAAAATGTGTAACAATGCGTGCGCGAGCTTTTTGCGACCCGTCAGTATGTTTACACCAAATCTTGACAAGTTGTTGAAATGGGATAATCTTTTTTAAAAATCGTATATAAGTGATAGAATTTAAATCATAGGTCCTGCCCTAAAAGGCGCTCTTACTTATCCGTCACCAGACCAACATTTTTCTCTTATATTCACGTCGGGGAATAGTTAAATAGATTATTAGCAGAGTGTACCTTCATTTTGTAGATCCATTTTGTTGAACATCCCAGGAACACTGTTGCTTCTTGGACTGACATGTCTGGCAGGACTGGTGATATTTGCATATTACGCTAACAAAGGTTGTGATCCGATAGGTGCAGGATATATAACCAATCCAAATCAGGTATTTCGTGTTTCTTTTTGTGCAAAGCATAGGTGCACTTTACACTTATTGTCGTTATTTTCTGCCTTGATTGAGGAACTGTATGTCGAAGGATTTCTTGTCCTCCCTACACGTTTGTTCATATACATCAGAAAAATCAGAAGAAATTAAATATTGGTTGATGAAAAAGTATGGTTGACAATACTTTGTATATTATAATCTCTTTATTCCTGGGAACAGTGCCAGCGTTAACACTTATCTTTTTTAGCTTTTACCTTACTTTGTGATGGATGTGCTTGGTGTCCCAGGGTTACCAGGTCTTTTTGTGGCGTGTCTGTTCAGTGGATCTCTAAGCACACTCTCTTCATCACTATCCGCTATATCAGCAAATACCTGGGAAGATGTATTGAAACTCAAGTTTGACCACTGGCCAGAATATAAGAAAACTATAGTGACAAAATGCACTGGTGGGTAAAAGATCAGTCCTCTCTGTGGTTTAGCCACACATTATATTTACTTTTTGGATTATGTGTGATTATCTATAACATCACCAATAATTTACCATGATGAGTTCAGACCACTGCAATAACAGAATGAACTTATACAAGGGGCGATCCATATATTCTGATAAAAATGCTCTCATTTTGCTATTTTTTCACATTTTCCTCTCATATTTTCAGAAAATGTAGATTATGTAATTACACATACAATGCTCAGATATTTTAGCTACATCTTAAATTAATAAAGAGATAGGGTTACCATGGTAACCTGTATTAAGGGTTAAATGACAAGATATTCATGAAAATTCTGTTTGTTGCTCATACATATTTTGAACATTAATGAATATTCATAATTACTAGACATACTGGGTATTGATGAATATTCACAACTAGTATACTATTAAATCCGATTATTTGTTGTTCATAGTTTTTAATGAATATTGATGAAATAACTAGATATTCATTAAATTTCTGTTTCAATAGTTGGTAAACACTTTTCAATGAATTGCTGAATATTCATAACTAATGGATTCTGATGAATATTCATAACTTTAAAATGATTAGATATTCATCAACATTCTGTTTATTTGTTCTTCATTGTTTTCAATGAACATTCATTATTATTAAATGATCAGATATTCATCAAAATTCTGTTTCATTTGTTGTTCTTTCCAAATAAATGAACATTGATGAATGTTCATACCTATTAAATGATCAGATATTCATCATAATTCTATTTCATTTGTTGTTCTTTCCAAATAAATGAACATTGATGAGCTTTTGCAAGTACATTATTTAAGATGTTCAGTAAAAGAAACTTTGATCTAGAAAGACTTTAACAGTACCTCTATTTGAGATAATTTCATAACAACAAATTATAATGTATATTTTCTCATACTGTATTCTATTTGTTGATATTCAATTATACATAAGTTGCTTGTCTGGGGATAAAGGCCATATGATATTGATTCTGCCACTTTACAGCACTTTTACATACTATTTAGAACTGTGATACTGCCAAAATTTATACATGATGCAAACCTGTAGATCCACTGTGATATGGGGGACCCCTCAGGAGGGTATTGGGCCAACCAGAGGGCCCTTATATCACTGATTAAGCAGGGTTTCTCTTTCCATTTGCTCCCAGGAACATCAACCTTGGGGAAGATGTCTCCTCTTAGTAAGTGGAAGTAAACAGTGAACTCAGTATACAAAATTATGGTCTCTATCACTGTCTTATTGTGCATTTAGTAATTTTCACATGGGAATTTTAATATTACCCACACATGTATCAACTTGGTGTCTCATAAGCCGGCATCGGCTAGAAGCAATGTTTTTTAAAAAAAGTGTTTTAAATGTATTTTAATATTATTGCTTGTGACACAAAAATAAACTATATTAAACTTAACTTAACTATGAATGTTCATACCTATTAAATGATCAGTTATTCATCATAATTCTGTTTCAAAGACATATAATGCTTGATAATTCTCAATTTTTGTTGGTTCACAATGAGTAATATTCAGGAACAGTGAAATTAGAATGTTGAGTCATACTAATGAATGAACTTTTTTTCCTAATTATTCTCTTAAATTCCTCAATGTTCAAAACTGTGAATAAAAATGAATGAAAAAATTCTTGATGATTCATAAAAAAACATCAAATGTCATGATGAATTTTGAAAAATATTCATGTCACTGAAAAATTCTTCATAATTCCTCAAAATGTTTCTTCGATCAAGAATTAGAGCTAAAAATATTCTCCATCCCCTATTCTTGTTTGATGCCAATTCATCATTCATGAATATTCATGAAATGAACATGAATATTCATGAATGAAGAATAAGATTTCACCGAGGTAGGCAGGTCAATTAAATTATAACGTATAAAATATCTTAATTAATTTAAAGCATGCGGAATTCATATATTTTTTCTAAAAAATGTTTGGTATTGTTTCTCGTTGTTTGTTGCGAGACAAATGTTTAGTTGTGATCACTATAACATCACAACAACCCACAATAGCAATGAATGACAGGATGGGAAAATTGGAAAATTGTGTCATGAGACACACCAAATAACAAAGATCAGATGAGGTTAGTGCGGCTGTTGCAGAGTGTGACATTAACAGATACATTAGGAGTACCATTAGATTTTATGTGCTATCAAGAATAAGTAAGAGGACACCGCCAGAGACATACATGGACTCGTACATGTATAGTGTACGGACAAGCTGTTATATCTGCTCTAAGGATCTCTAGTAGTATTGTAAAGAGGAAGGCTAGTCACTGTTGAATATCATTACCAATCTGCTTGCAAGAAGAGCTAGCGGACAGAGAATAAAACTACAATAATTTGAGATGCGATTTATGAAAAAAAGAACTATTCCACTGTGGAAATAGCAAACAAGGGCAACAGGGGTATGGAGCAGTTCAACGAATAGTTGGCAATGACCTGGATATGCGTTTGATCTGCTTGAAATAGGTATCGAGGAATGATTAAATTAACAAATTTATATATTTTATATGTTATAATTTAATTGACCTGCCTACCTTAAATACAGGTTACCATGGCAACCTTATCTCAAAAATAATTTAAGATGTAGCTATAATATTTTAGCATTGTATGTGTAATTACATAATCTTCAAGTTCTGAAAATATGAGAGGGATATGTGAAAAGATCACAAAATGGAGCATTTTTATCAGAATATATGGATCGCCCCTTGTAAATGATACAAATAACACTTGGTGAAATCGGTAAAATAATATATAAAAATATGTTTTATTTTCGGATATTTGTGTAAAAAGATGCGTAATAATACAGTATTTCCATTCAGTATTGTAATTATTATATTATATTATGAAGGAAAAAAATATAATCAGCATTTTATACTACATTATATAGAGATTAATATAATATAATTAGAAATAAGTGAGGTCCAAATATATTATTTGTTCATATAAACATTTACCAAATCCGATTATCTCAATAAAAACATGTAGCAGAATGTTTTATTCCCAGTATAATATTCTTTTTTAGAATTATTTGCGCCAATTTATATTTATTCTGTCTTCCTAAAATATTATTTGGTCATATTTATCAATCCAAACTGATGATTGCAGTCTATTTAGATTTTTTTCTATTCTAAAAAATATTATTTTCTAGTATTTTCCAATCTAAGCAGAAAATATCAAATTATATTGTATTATTTGGGTACTAAAAAATATTATACGCGATTATTCTCGTCCAACTTGATGTACAATCCATCTGGTTAATTACTTAACCAAACAAAACAAAGAATGCACAGCATGGCAGTTAATAGGATTAACCGTTCTACTGGCCTTCTCATCTCTATTACTTATACATGTCACACATATTTTATTTTGACTGTTCTATTTCTATTTGAAAAATATTTACAAATAAATTTTTAGAAGAAAGAAATTTAACTTGTTTTAAATTAATGTTAACAATGGAGTAAAAATGTGAAAAAGTCATCAATTAAAAATCAAAAAAAAATTTAAAAAAATTAAAAAAATTAAATTATCAAAAAATAATTAACTTTCCAATTAGTTAATCAGTTCAATCCAAATTTTAACACAATGTTAATCATAGAAAGAGGGATTTATACAATTAAAAAATATGAAAAACTTAATTTGCAAATTATTATTTTTGTGGAAAATAAAACAATTGGCTCTAGATATTAATCCATTCACTCTAACAAACGGATTAACTCTAACAATCAGATTAGTTATCAGTGAACAAAACTCATTTCATAGAAATTGAAAAAAACTTAGAGATTAAAGTATTACTTATATTGCTCTGTCATCCATACATGAACATGTATGTGAATGGTGAAAGTCTTCATGATTTTGAAAGAATTGTTGGCCAAGGGGAGTGGATCGTTACTCGTTAGGTACGGGCCTGTATAAAATGCGTAATGTTTTTAGCTAAAATTTGAGCAGTTCTGTGTCAAGACTATTTTTGTGGTTGGCAGAGTGAATACGGGTGGTTGTTTGTGCCTGTGTAAGAGGGGCCCTTAAATGTTGTTTGTTGTTAACTTTATATGGCAGAGAAACAATGTAGTAAAAATGTGAGGAAACCCATTGATTAAAAATTAACTTTCCGTTGAGTCAATCAATTTAATCCAAATTTTAACACAATGTTAATCATAACATAAGGGACATTATACAATCAAATAAATATGAAAAACTTGTTTTTTAAATTATTTTTTGTGGAACTTAAAACTGTTGGCTGTAGGAAATTAATCCATCGCCTCTAACAAACGGATTAGCTTTCAGTGTTAACAAAACTCATATTAAAGAAATTGAATAATTGGGGATTAAAGTTTTACTTATCATATTGCTCTGACATACAGGTACTGTATGTCAACATGTTATTTACATCAGTTTGTTCTACCATGCACCAATTTGCTCAAAGCGTAATCATCGCTATGTCAGATGAAACATTAGGAATAAATGTAAAATGTACCCGCTTCTTTATTTTCATTATCAAACAACTAAACATACTGAATACATGTATATAGACAGGTTCCAATTCTAATAATTCAAGTTTTTGAGGCATTTTTTAGAAAAAGCAACAGACCTATTTTCACTCGATCAGTGTTTCATGCTGATAAAGATATTAAAAGATGACAGCTCAACGGGGTGGTCACGACACTGAATTTTGGCATTTTTACCCCCCTAGGAAAATATTTTAGGGGGTACTATGAAACTAGTTCATAACTCAAAGGATATATGAGCTATTGTTCTGAGTTGTACACCATACATTGCTAGTACAAATATGAATACTATCCTAAAGTTATAGGTTGATATCCTTATTGGTCTCAGAAAAAATACAATAAACAGGAAAAAGATACGCAATTTTTGTCTTGCCAATTTTATATTTGTAGCTTCAAGCAAAATATGACAGCTTAAACAGCTCATAGAAGTATTCTAAAAACATTTCCAAGC